GGCCCTATGTACAACAGGGACAACAGAATAAAGCACTGCCCAGTTCTGTGTCACCCAGTGTAAGCCACTTTGTCTTCTAGAGACCTTTTTTTTTTGTTTGTTTCATAGCCAAGTGTAGGAGCTCTGGTGGTGTAGTGCTTAAGACATATGACTGTTAACCAGAGGGCTAGCAGTTCAAACCCACCCCTTGGAAGGAAGGCTGGGCAATCTACTTCCATAGTGATGCCACCTTGGAAACCCACAGAGGGATCACTTTGAGTCAGATCGGATTCGATGGCAGTGAGTGAGTGTGAGTGACCCAAGTGTAAACCGTTAGTGCCACCCAGGGAGCCTAGACAATAACATAGCCGTTTAAAAAAAAACAAGGAAGTCTCATGACACACTGCTTTGGAACACCCTCTCATACTATTAGGCAACATAAAGACAACAACGTACGGGATCTTCCACTTACACTGTAAAACAAAAGGAAAAGGATTATAGCATGTGTTTATATGGCATAGTGGATAAGGCATTTGGCTGCTAACCAGAAACTCAGCGGTTCAAACCCACCACATGTTCCATGGAAGGAAGATGGGACAATCTACTTTCGTAAAGATTTACTGCCTCAGAAACCCAGCAGTGGTCACTATGAGTCAGAACCGACTCGATGGCAGTGAGTATGTTTATAAGGATAGTGAAGAAACTGACAGGAACTGGCTGTCTAGCGGACAAGGCAGGGGCAGAAGGCTTCCCGCCCTTTTGAGAACCTGAGACATATTTCTGATTTTGAACTATAACTGGAACATCTCATCACAAAAATTAACTCTCAGAAAAAAGAAACAAAACGGGAAGTCATGCCTGTCAGAGAGAGGAAAGGTGGCGTGGCCACCAAGTCTCCCCATGGTTTGGTGTTGGTGCTGGGAGCCAGCCAGCCGGCGGGCCAGCTGCTTCTCCTCTGGCCTCTGGAGGTGGCCACTGGAGCTGGCCCTGTGCACGGATAACGCTGTCTGCCAGGATTCAGGGAACGGGCAAGACTGCTCGCCTTCACTGGAGGAGATTTCATCAAGTAACTTTCCTACTCAGCCAAGCGGGGCTGAGTGCAGGTCATCACAGCCTGATATCAGTGTGTATGTGTGTGGGGGAACCAAACCAGCAGTTGTTGAGTTGACACCAACTGCCAAGTCATGGCGACCCTGTGTGGACAGAGAGGAACTGTTTTCCATAAAGTCTGTGTTGGCTGATTTGTGGAACCTGGCTGGCAGGCCTTTCTTCTAATGGGCCTATGAATGGGCTCCAGCTGCCTCCTGCCCTTGGCTGCCGCACTCAGGGTATTTGTGCTACCCAGGGACTCAAGACTGGGCTGGACCAAGGAGAATGGCCAGGTAAGCTACGTGCAAAAAGCAGGCAATGGACGTCCTACAGACGGCAAAGGTCCTGTCAGCAACATGTCACAGGGATGGTGCAGGAATGCGCAGCCCCACTCTGCTGTGCACGGGGTTGCCGTGCGTCAGGGCCCAACACTCACCACCTAGTAAGGTCTGTACATTTTCAACTCTCTCTATAAATTTAGCAAACTATGGTACTTCTCACAGAGCTGGGAGGAGTTCTCGTGGCGTAGTAGTTAAAGCATTTAGCTGCTGGTCAAAAGGTTAGCAGTTAGAACCCACCAGCAGTGGAAAAAGATGAAGCAGTCCACCTCCATGAAGACTGACAGCCTTGGAGACCCT